CCTTGAGTGTTTCATAACCTTTACCTTTGGGGAGGTCAAGGCCGTGTCATCATTAATCTACCATCGCCTGAAAGCCTCGGGGGCTCTGCTTTTCATCCCGCCATCCGTCACCGCCGAGCGGCCAGAAGGGTCTACACACACACACACACACACACACACACACACACGGGCACCCACCACCCCTCACACACACACACACACACACACGGGCACCCACCACCCCTCCATCCTCTGGGATGGAAAACCCCAGGGATGGGGGTCGAGGCCCTTCTCCCCGCATCGGTGATGGGGACACGTGGGGGCTTTGGCTGTGGATCCGGAGTGTTTTCCTCCTGGGGATCACAGAATCTTCTAGGTTGGAAGGGACCTTCAAGATCATCTTGTCCAACCGTCAACCTCATTTTGACAAAAATAGACACCCCCACAACAAACAAGGAGCATCATCACTAAACCAGACCTCCCAGCACCACATCAACCCGGCTTTTGAACACCTCCAGGGATGGGGCCTCAACCCCCTCCCTGGGCAGCCCATTCCAAGGGCTGAGAACCCTTTCAGGGAAAAAATGTTTCCTAATATCCAGCCTGAACCTCCCCTGGCGCAACTTGAGGCCATTTCCTCTCGTCCTGTCGCCTGGGACTTGAGAAAAGAGACCGACCCCCATCTCTCTACCCCCTCCTTTCAGGGAGTTGGAGAGAGCAAGAAGGTCTCCCCTCAGCCTCCTCTTCTCCAGGCTGAACACCCCCAGCTCCCTCAGCCTCTCCTCATCAGACTTATTCTCCAGACCCCTCACCAGCTTTGTCGCCCTTCTCTGGACCCGCTCCAGCACCTCGATGTCTTTTTTTATGGTAGGGGGCCCAAAACTGGACACAGTTTGAATGAATCTGTGGAGAAAAGCCACGTTCTGCCCCTGCGGCACCAAACGAGGTTTCATGGGGACCGTGGGCTTTTCAAACACGGGGGTGGGGGGCACCCAACAAGGTGTCCCCTGCACCCAGTGAGGTGTCCCCTGCACCTTGGGAGCAGGAGGAGGCTGTTGTGTCCCCTTTTAGGTGGTTGTCACCCCGTGACGGGCCTGGTGGAGCGGAGAAACGGCGTCGCCGTGGCCCAACACGTGGAGCATCTCCCTCACGCCGCTGCCTTTCCCCGGCTCGGGGTCTCCTGGAGAGCCCAGGCTGGTTCTTCACCCTTCTCCCAGCCCCAGGTGGCTCCTGAAGCCTCATTTCGTTGCCCTCACAGGGCTGTTTGACCCGGGGGGCACGGGGGGACGCGCCGATGGACGGTGGGGCCTGGCTGCCCCACGCAGCTCCGTGCCGAGCAGAGATGCTCCCCGTAAACCGTTGATTAGAATCTCTGGGGGTGCTGAGGGGGGGGCTCTTCTCCTCTCCCCTGTCACCAAAAGCGGTGAGATTTCACTGAATTTCACTGAATTTTTTAGAGTTGGAAGGGACCATAGAGATCATCTAGTCCAACTCCCCTGCTGAAGCAGGATTGCCCAGAGCTTGTCAGAGCACGTTACTCAGGAGCATCTTGAAAATCTCCAAGGAAGGGGACTCCACACCCTCCCTGGGCAGCCTCTTCCAGGGCTCTGTCACCCTCACCGTGAAGAAGTTTCTCCTCATATTTGAGTGGAACCTCTTCTGGTCCAACTTGTGCCCGTTGCCCCTCGTCCTCTCACTGGGAACCACTGAAAAGAGTCTGGCTCCCTCCTCCTTCAACCCTCCCTTGAGATACTTGTAGGCATTGAGAAGGTCTCCCCTCAACCTTCTCTTCTCCAGACTAAGAGTCCCAGCTCCCTCAGTCTCTCCTCATCAGGGAGATGCTCCAATCCTTGAATCATTGAATCATGCTTTTAGATGATCAGGGATCAACTTTTGCCCGCCCTCGACGAGCGAGGCGGGTGCTGGGGGGTTCCCCTCTGTAAGAGCCTGAGTCCTGGGGGTGCTGAGGGGGGGGCTCTTCTCCTCTCCCCCATCACCAAAAGCATTGAGATGCTTTTAGATGATGAGGGATCAACTTTTGCCTGCCCTCAAAGAGCAAAGTGGGTGCTGGAAGGCTGCGAGATGCTTTTAGATGATCAAGGATCAACTTTTGCCTGCCCTCGACGAGCGAGGCGGGTGCTGGGGGGTTCCCCTCTGTAAGAGCCTGAGTCCTGGGGGTGCTGAGGGGGGGGCTCTTCTCCTCTCCCCCATCACCAAAAGCATTGAGATGCTTTTAGATGATGAGGGATCAACTTTTGCCTGCCCTCAAAGAGCAAAGTGGGTGCTGGAAGGCTGCGAGATGCTTTTAGATGATCAAGGATCAACTTTTGCCTGCCCTCGACGAGCGAGGCGGGTGCTGGGGGGTTCCCCTCTGTAAGAGCCTGAGTCCTGGGGGTGCTGAGGGGGGGGCTCTTCTCCTCTCCCCCATCACCAAAAGCATTGAGATGCTTTTAGATGATGAGGGATCAACTTTTGCCTGCCCTCAAAGAGCAAAGTGGGTGCTGGAAGGCTGCGAGATGCTTTTAGATGATCAAGGATCAACTTTTGCCTGCCCTCGACGAGCGAGGCGGGTGCTGGGGGGTTCCCCTCTGTCAGAGCCTGAGTCCTGGGGGTGCTGATGGGGGGGTTCTTCTCCTCTCCCCCGTCACCAAAGGCTGTGAGATGCTTTTAGATGATGAGGGATCAACTTTTGCCCGCCCTCGACGAGCAAAGTGGGTGCTGGGGGGTTTTCCTCTGTCGGAGCCTGAGTCCTGCAGGTGATTTTGGCAGAGCATCGTGCCCCCGCGGCCCCCCGTTCCCTTCCCTGGCTCAGGTGGGAGCCAGAACGGACTCAGTGTGTCCTGTGTGTCCTGCTCCTCCAGGAATGGTGAGTGCCAGAGCTCTGTGCTCCATGGAAACCAGCCTTTAATGCCTTTTGGCATTAACTCTTCCTGCACCAGCAGCAGCCCTCCTGCCTTCTCCCAGGAGGGAGGGAACGAGCCAGATTTTTAAATGGATCCTTCTCTCTTTTGGGAAGAAGCACCTCATAGAGCTGGAGGATGAACCCTTAAACCCGGAGTTAATCCACTCTGCCACCCCAGGCTCCTTCGGGACCCCTTCCCTGTGCCCCGGGAGCTCCCCCGGCTCCTGTCGCCTGCTCCAAGGGAAAAAAACAGATTTTTTGGAGGCCTGGGACTCTCTGGATGCTCCTGGGGCTCATTGAGATGCTGTGGGGTGGGGGGGTGAGCCCCTTCCTCCCTCCTTGCATGGAGAAGGGCAGGTGGCATCTTGGGGACATCATCAGCCTTGAGGACAGAGGGGCCTGATTCTGGCAGGGGTGGCACAGAGCCTGTCCCCAGGGTCCCTGGGGTGCTCCAGCCCAGGAAGGAACCCAGGTCACCCCTTGGAGAGGAGTTGGGTCCCGAGGCAGATTTCCATGGGGGTGGGATGCTGTCACTGGTGGATTTTTGGGGCCGAAACGACAGCTTTGGGATCACATACAGTGAAAATACATCGATGCTCTCACGTAAACGCTCCCTGGTCCCAGATCTGAGGAAGGATCTGGAACCAGATTTTTGGGGCCAAAATGACAGCTTTGGGATCACATTCAGTGAAAACACATCGATGCTCTCACGTAAACGCTCCCTGGTCCCAGATCTGAGGAAGGAAGGAACCAGATCCTTCCCTTTGGGGCTCGGAGTCCTTCATAAAAGCTTTTTTTTTTTATTTTTCCTCCCTTCTTCTGTCCCCCCTCGCCCTTCCCCCCCTTTTTTTTTTTTTTAATTTTTTTTTTCTTTAGACAAACTACCAAATAACCAACGAGCCTAGAAGTAGGATGAGGTTAGAAAATAAATCTGCCGGGCGGGCAGGCGGGGTCAGCTTTTCCCCCTGCAGATGCTGCTGGTGCACCCAAGTCGCGGAGGGGGGGGGGGGGGGGGGTGTGTGTGATAGATGCGGAGGTTGGCAGCGTTTTGATGGAGGTAATTTTCCTCAGATGGGTTTCAGCACCCCATGAATCAAAACCTGTCAGCGAGGGGCTCAAAAGATGGAGTGAAGTTTATTGTACGCGTGTTTGCAGCTGACACGGGCGCGCAACGGGGTCAAGTGAGCCGGATCATTAGGACGGTGTTGATTTAGGAG